ACAACCAGTTGCAGCCGTACATTTCGAAAATGTGCACATCTTAATTTCCGTTACATTTGTGCAGAAAATGCAGTTGTCGAAGTAATAGGAACAAGTACATTTTGGCAAGCCAAAATTCATATGTCTGACTATATTTCAAAAAAAAAAAAAAAAAAAAAAAAAAAAAAAAAAAAAAAAAAAAAAAAAAAACAAAAAACAGTGCAGACGACAAAATTTTGTCATATGAATTCGCGAAAGCAATTATTTTGTACCTTTGAACTAGAAGCATATGTGCTTTTTATCTGTTTTATTATCATACCTTTTATACTGGACAGAGATAATTTATTATTAGTTGTGTAAATTGATTATCATCATCATCATCATAATCATCATCATCATCATCAATCATCATCATCATCATCATCATCATACATATAATTCATCCGTATAACTTGTCATAATCGATACTATAAAATTAGACATTTTTATTCACTGATAACATAATATATATAGCATAATGAATACGTAAGGAAGTATATCTCGGACAAATCACCAAAAGAATCAGCGTTGAAATTTTGGAATAAAGTGTTCCCCAAGTTTTATACATTCACACAAGAATAACAAGTTAGAAAGAAAGTGAAAACATATTGGCTTATCTCCCGTTGACCACGGTCATTCAGAACCTAACTTAAATGGCGATATCCTCCTTTTAACAGTCGATATCTCAATAAAATGGCTAATGATGCTGATACGAAAGTCACTATCTGCTGCGCTTTGATTCTATTTCTATCTTCTGCAAAATGTCTTTCGATGTGACGAAACAGCAGCACGTTTGGGGGATTTACTTTCTGAGAAGAAATGATCACCGGTAACCGTATTGCTGTAATATCTCGTATATTTATATATCTCCAGTACCAAAGGGCGTAGGAGGTGTATATACTGAACCTTTTCTAGAAGCAATTCCCTGTTCATCTAACGGGGCTCTTATTTCATGAAATGAAACAGTATAGTACGTTTCTGATTTCTCCGTAAGAGACGGAGTTTTTTTTTTCATTTTTTTTATTCATTTCAATTTCTTTATATAACTGTATGAATTAATATAGAAAACTACTCTGAAGATTCGTGCACATTTCGTTATGAAATTTACTACTTTCGATATTCATGTTTGCTTCAAAACGTTCGCAACGGTTTGGCATGCCATATGCTCTTACATTCTCGTTTGATTTGCAAGTTGGTTTGTATGCAATATCAAAGTAAATCACATATTTTCTACCGAAAATGCTTAGAACTCGACCTATTATTGAAGTAAGAGATCATTCGTGCATAACTTTGCCATCGCATGTCAGCAGCGCAGAGCTCAAAATTCCCTTCCGGACAACGTCTCTAACAACGGGACGTGTGCATTTAGCAGCACACTTACGATTAACTTATTTTGTTAGTGATCGCACTGGACTTACATTTCAATACCATATTTCATATTTGAGCCGTGCCATGACAAAACCAACATAATGCGTTTGCGACCAGCATGGATCCAGACCGTGCAGGCTGGTCTGGATCCATGCTGGTCGCAAGTGCATTACGTTGGTTTTGTCATGACACGGCTCATATGGCTATTATTGGCAGTTTTTGCCTAATTAGATGTTCTACTCAGACTTATAAAACACACGAAATAGCTCACTTCTTGTGACAATGATTTGTGCCCGATTGCAATGAATTATTGTAGTCATTCTCTTAGCAGAAGATCTAAGCTGTTATACAAGACACAACATATAATTTTTGGCGAAGCATTTGTGCCACAGTGATCATTGTTTCACAACCATTATCATCCGTTCCTTGCAAAAATGTTCGCATCTAAATTTACGTTGAAATACACACGAAAACGCGATCATTTATAAGATACACTTTGTGACAGTCATTTTAGCTCGATTGTAAGAAATCGCAAATATTCTTAACGCATGGGTATTAGCTTTCTAACAAGACATGGCATATAATAATCGGTGAATTATTGCCGTCGCTGTGACTGTTGTTTCACAACCAGTTGCAGCCGTACATTTCGAAAATGTGCACATCTTAATTTCCGTTACATTTGTGCAGAAAATGCAGTTGTCGAAGTAATAGGAACAAGTACATTTTGGCAAGCCAAAATTCATATGTCTGACTATATTTCAAAAAAAAAAAACAAAAAAAAAAAAAAAAAAAACAGGTGCAGACGACAAAATTTTGTCATATGAATTCGCGAAAGCAATTATTTTGTACCTTTGAACTAGAAGCATATGTGCTTTTTATCTGTTTTATTATCATACCTTTTATACCTGGACAGAGATAATTTATTATTAGTTGTGTAAATTGATTATCATCATCATCATAATCATCATCATCATCATCAATCATCATCATCATCATCATCATCATACATATAATTCATCCGCATAACTTGTCATAATCGATACTATAAAATTAGACATTTTTATTCACTGATAACATAATATATATAGCATAATGAATACGTAAGGAAGTATATCTCGGACAAATCACCAAAAGAATCAGCGTTGAAATTTTGGAATAAAGTGTTCCCCAAGTTTTATACATTCACACAAGAATAACAAGTTAGAAAGAAAGTGAAAACATATTGGCTTATCTCCCGTTGACCACGGTCATTCAGAACCTAACGTAAATGGCGATTTCCTCCCTTTAACAGTCGATATCTCAATAAAAAGGCTAATGATGCTGATACAAAAGTCACTATCTGCTGCGCTTTGATTCTATTTCTATCTTCTGCAAAATGTCTTTCGATGTGACGAAACAGCAGCACGTTTGGGGGATTTACTTTCTGAGAAGAAATGATCACCGGTAACCGTATTGCTGTAATATCTCGTATATTTATATATCTCCAGTACCAAAGGGCGTAGGAGGTGTATATACTGAACCTTTTCTAGAAGCAATTCCCTGTTCATCTAACGGGGCTCTTATTTCATGAAATGAAACAGTATAGTACGTTTCTGATTTCTCCGTAAGAGACGGAGTTTTTTTTTCATTTTTTTTATTCATTTCAATTTCTTTATATAACTGTATGAATTAATATAGAAAACTACTCTGAAGATTCGTGCACATTTCGTTATGAAATTTACTACTTTCGATATTCATGTTTGCTTCAAAACGTTCGCAACGGTGTTGGCATGCCATATGCTCTTACATTCTCGTTTGATTTGCAAGTTGGTTTGTATGCAATATCAAAGTAAATCACATATTTTCTACCGAAAATGCTTAGAACTCGACCTATTATTGAAGTAAGAGATCATTCGTGCATAACTTTGCCATCGCATGTCAGCAGCGCAGAGCTCAAAATTCCCTTCCGGACAACGTCTCTAACAACGGGACGTGTGCATTTAGCAGCACACTTACGATTAACTTATTTTGTTAGTGATCGCACTGGACTTACATTTCAATACCATATTTCATATTTGAGCCGTGCCATGACAAAACCAACATAATGCGTTTGCGACCAGCATGGATCCAGACCGTGCAGGCTGGTCTGGATCCATGCTGGTCGCAAATGCATTACGTTGGTTTTGTCATGACACGGCTCATATGGCTATTATTGGCAGTTTTTGCCTAATTAGATGTTCTACTCAGACTTATAAAACACACGAAATAGCTCACTTCTTGTGACAATGATTTGTGCCCGATTGCAATGAATTATTGTAGTCATTCTCTTAGCAGAAGATCTAAGCTGTTATACAAGACACAACATATAATTTTTGGCGAAGCATTTGTGCCACAGTGATCATTGTTTCACAACCATTATCATCCGTTCCTTGCAAAAATGTTCGCATCTAAATTTACGTTGAAATACACACGAAAACGCGATCATTTATAAGATACACTTTGTGACAGTCATTTTAGCTCGATTGTAAGAAATCGCAAATATTCTTAACGCATGGGTATTAGCTTTCTAACAAGACATGGCATATAATAATCGGTGAATTATTGCCGTCGCTGTGACTGTTGTTTCACAACCAGTTGCAGCCGTACATTTCGAAAATGTGCACATCTTAATTTCCGTTACATTTGTAATAGGAACAAGTACATTTTGGCAAGCCAAAATTCATATGTCTGAACACTATATTTAAAAAAAAAACAAAAAAAAAAAAAACAAACAAACAAAAAAAAAAAAAAAAACAGGTGCAGACGACAAAATTTTGTCAAATGAATTCGCGAAAGCAATTATTTTGTACCTTTGAACTAGAAGCATATGTGCTTTTTATCTGTTTTATTATTATACCTTTTATACCTGGACAGAGATAATTTATTATTAGTTGTGTAAATTGATTATCATCATCATCATCATAATCATCATCATCATCATCAATCATCATCATCATCATCATACATATAATTCATCCGCATAACTTGTCATAATCGATACTATAAAATTAGACATTTTTATTCACTGATAACATAATATATATAGCATAATGAATACGTAAGGAAGTATATCTCGGACAAATCACCAAAAGAATCAGCGTTGAAATTTTGGAATAAAGTGTTCCCCAAGTTTTATACATTCACACAAGAATAACAAGTTAGAAAGAAAGTGAAAACATATTGGCTTATCTCCCGTTGACCACGGTCATTCAGAACCTAACGTAAATGGCGATTTCCTCCCTTTAACAGTCGATATCTCAATAAAAAGGCTAATGATGCTGATTCAAAGGTCACTATCTGCTGCGCTTTGATTCTATTTCTATCTTCTGCAAAATGTCTTTCGATGTGACGAAACAGCAGCACGTTTGGGGGATTTACTTTCTGAGAAGAAATGATCACCGGTAACCGTATTGCTGTAATATCTCGTATATTTATATATCTCCAGTACCAAAGGGCGTAGGAGGTGTATATACTGAACCTTTTCTAGAAGCAATTCCCTGTTCATCTAACGTTGCTCTTATTTCATGAAATGAAACAGTATAGTACGTTTCTGATTTCTCCGTAAGAGACGGAGTTTTTTTTTTCATTTGTTTTATTCATTTCAATTTCTTTATATAACTGTATGAATTAATATAGAAAACTACTCTGAAGATTCGTGCACATTTCGTTATGAAATTTACTACTTTCGATATTCATGTTTGCTGCAAAACGTTCGCAACGGTTTTAGCATATCATATCCTAATGATGCTGATACAAAAGTCACTATCTGCTGCGCTCTGATTCCATTTCTATCTTCTGCAAAATGTCTTTCGGCGGTATTTGGAGCTGATTTTAATCAGATTGCTCGTACACGGCACTTGTTTGTAACTTTTAAGTTCTATGTGTGTAATATATTGCTTTATTTGAGAAAAAAAAATTGTAGTTGTAAGTTTATTTTACCATCACCAAAGTAACGGAGAATAGAAACCTTGTTGCACATTGAAATAAACATACAAGCAAGAACATCTTTTTATTTTAAAGTCATAAGCGTACAATCTATAATTATAAAGCTCATTTGGCTGTCACAAAATACGTTGAGTATTATTTATGAATGGTAGCAATGACACCTGTTTCTTTTTCATGACAAAAAAGTTTAAAAAAGAACAATACAGAAGAAGAGACAAATGACTTAATGATACTTTATATTATAGGTTTTTTTTCTGATCCTTTAGGAGTTTATTGAATACCTGACGGTTAAATATTGCTTAAACCGGTGCTAGGCAACGTAAGAGATGTTCTGGTTTATTGAAATTGTATAAAAATGAAGTACAATTTTTCTGTAATGTTGGGATGGAGCGAATGTGCCATTTTATGAGGCAAAAATCTACAGTGATTTTTATAAAATAATTTAGTAATCTGGTGCATGTAAAATCGATGTTTTCAATCAAATTTCCTTTCGATGATACTATTTTTTGTTACATTGATAAAAAATTTAGTCCTAAAATTTAGTCGGGATCATTGTGTTGAGAATTGAGTACCGGTCAAGCCGGTGCTAGGGGGCGTGAGGGATGTTGCACTTATTCATTACCCCCCATGTACAAACTTAATCAAACCGAGTCTGCAATGTTCATGTAATTTTGTTGTGATTAATGCTTCCGAGGGATCACTTTGTTTCCAGATTTTTAAAGAGTAATTTTAAAATCAATCAAATTTAGTCTTAATTTGTAGTTTTAAAATAAATTACATTGATGTCTATACATGCAGTTTATGCAAGTATGCCATTCATCGTATCAATGAACTTAATATGGATTTTACGATCTTGCGTGCACAAAACGTTTGTGTGATGGTACATGCATTTAAATCTAGCCCACACATTTGCCTAATTAAGGTAAGTAAAGTATCATAAATTTTCAATTAAACAATGTCATATAGGTCACATCTTATTGAACATTTTCACTTATTCTTAATATTTTGTTTCCAATCATATACACTTACATAAAAAGTGCAGCAATAATTGTGCAGACGTTAATTTTAATCAAGGAAAGTAAAAGTTGATTTTGTCTGTTTACCCGTGTCTTTATGAATTGCCTGGACTTCGAACTCTGTGCCACAACACATAATCTGTACCATCACTACCCGCTCAATCTTTCCAATTTTCTTTCCAGAATCAATATTTATTTCTTCTATTTTAAAACAGTCAGGTTCATCAACAAATATAGGGTTTAACCGTTTTGATGCATATAATCTGAGGGTAAATTGTGTTTCGTCATTACGAGGTTTAACATCTTTATTTCTCGAAATTTTGTCAGCTGATAGAATTTCGCCTACCTCAATCAACTTTGCAAAACAACCTAGCACTAGTTTTTGACCATTTGAAATTGTTATTATCTCTCTATCCATTGGATGTATTATTGAATTGTAAGTACTATACATTTTAAATCCATATGTGTACTGACTTATTCTGTCTCTAATATCTTTTCTATGGTGTCCAAAGATAACTGCCCCCCTCAGAACTGAAAGTCCAGCATCTTCAGGAAGAATAATATTCCGATCCTTAAATGAAGACCTTACTGCTTCAAACAACATTGGAGACTCTGAAAAACCGCCGACCATTAAAATCGCGTTCGTATTTGCTGTTAGTTCCACTTCCAGAATACATTTTAAATGTTGAATGATACTATTATTTGTGGTGGTGAAAAGATTTTTAAACAAACTACAATCGAACAAAGCTTTATCGGTCAGAAAGGTTAGCTTTCCACTTAGTTTTTCATCGTTTTCGATGTTTTTCATAATACTTTCCTGGTTCATATTCTTGTAAATATCAAACAGCGATACAGGAATCTTAAATTTAATCTTTGATTCAAGATCCGGCTTGATAAACCTTTTTTTCAGTTCAAACTCTCTTTGAAGGTCGAGAAAATCGCCTTTGTGTTCATCTTGGAATCTCTTCATGACATCTTTTCCAAAAATCCCGGTAATAAAATCTTGAAAAGCCTTATCAACCTTTGTACCACCCCAGTTTCCACCATTAGCTTTATATATTTCCTTTAAAGTTCCATCGATACATACTTCATGGACGATTATATCGACAGTTCCTCCTTCAATTAAAGTAGATATATCTCTTTGAATTGTGTTGCGTAATAAGACATGAGTATGTAAAGAAATATATCACAAAAATATCTTGTTACCTAACATTTATTGCTTGTGTAGGAGTATTGTTTGCTTGAATTGATTTACAGAAAAAAATTAAAGCTACACCTGCAATGATTGTTTCAATGACTGAAACGTTTACTAAATGTCCATGCAAAACAAATATATATGTGTGTCCAGGTTAAAGGAAACAAATAAATACACTTAAACTTCGTCAAATGTAGAAGTCTGAGCACAATTGTTGTTTATTTAATATAAAAAAGCTCGGACAAAACATACCTCCGGCGTCGACAACCATATATTTTTCCCCAGGTTTAAAGGAAAAAACAACTTCAGACTCTCGGCGATTCTCTTTATCTTGTTTCTCTATCATGCGGTATTTACAATACAGAGATGCTGCCTCTGGTTCTAAAGCTATCAACAGATTTTGTGACCGTATACCTGCCTGAAATATATGTATTACCAAAGTTTCACATTACTTTGAACAACTAGAAAAATGACCAGTGTTTGCATATGGAAAATAAATATTATTTGCAATTGTTTCATGTAAGCTTGTAAATAAATTACCACTCTTGATGCAAACCAATATTTTCATTCCAATAAAAACAGAAAAGTTAATTTAAATGAAAATTGCCAGTTCTATTAAAACATCTTATCCAAGAGAAAGAAATATGAATGGATAATTTTTGTTTCAAAATACTGGTATTAAATACTCGTTTAAGAATCTGTCTAAAATGATTTACTTCTACAGCACATTCTCTCATAAACTGTTTAGCTGGCGGGGTCCATATTGCAGGCACAGTCAACACCCACTGTATTTCTTCCTCTTTTACGATGCCAGTAAGTCGTTTTCTCGAGTCTTCCATTAAATCGTCTTTAAGATACTTAATTACCATAGTAAATACACGTTTTGCAGGTAAACGTTTTCCACTGTCATCTGCTAAATCCCCATTTCTTGTCAGGTGCTACAATTGATTTCAAACATGTATAAAATAAAAGATCCATGAAATAGTATTATTCTGCATATTCATTTTAAAAGGTTGGATTAAAAACTGTTTGAATAAATGTGCATCAGACACATTCTTCTGTCTAAGCACTATTTAAAAATGTCCTATGCACGATTTGATTAATATAAAGGGTACACAGTTAATTTTGAAGAAAAACCTTTTGATCTTGTCGTGTTGCGTTGCTATGAGAACCATGTCGTTGATGCATAAAACAATGTCACAATTTGTATTTCATAGACAAATGGATTATTCAAAACACTTTATTATTCACCTTGTTGTCAAACAGCATCATCTTGAAGCGTTGAAAGTAAAAGTATGGTCTATGTTTCTCTTCGTCTGCTAACTCCGCGTACCTTTCCTCAGCTTCGTAACCAAACGCTTCCAATGTGTTTCCATCAGCTTGGATTAAAACTGTTGTTGGTGCTTTCATAGAAATACTGTTTCCACTGCACCTATCATGATGAAAATACACATTGGGTGTAAAGAATTTTGGAAGGTTGTTATTAAGTATTGCACATTTCTTTATTAAGAAAATGCCAGAAACACATTTAAAATGAATTTTTCCATAATAGAAGGTTTGTAATATCATGAATTATTAATATTGTTATAGCAAAGGGTATCATATTTGATATCAAACCACGGAAGATTTATGTACAGATGATGTTGATTAGTATTAGATATATGATTTAATATTACATATCTTTATGTAGCAGATAAAACATTGTTCTAGGATAAAATTTTGTTCTGCGTCAGATAAATGCTCATAATAAATCACTTAGAACTAACTCTGTTAACATTTTACTTTTAAGAAATATTTTATAAGAACATACAAACGAAAATTTTTATGCTTGTTATCAACATTTGAAATACTTATGGGAAATGTGCCTATTGTAGACCAAAACACGTAACAAGAGGGCCTACATGGCCCTGGATCGCTCACCTGAAAAATAGGTCAAAAGGTCAAAGTGGAACCCCTTTACACCACAGAAGTACAATTTGAAAACAAGAATTGTTAAAAGAATCTTTTGGTTGTAATGGCAAACAGAGGTCTTTATGAAATTTATTTCTTTGAACAACTTTGGTAGAGCTTCATGCAAGAACAATCCCTGCACAGTTTCAACAAATTTGGCCAAGGGGTTTAGGAGAGAAATTGTTGACGCACACACGATGTACAACGGACAATGGGCCATCACAAAGGCTCACGTTGAGGACATTGTCCTCAGGTCAGCTAAACATTAATAAGGAAGACTGTTACAAAGCTTTGATGCGGCCTACCACTGCTTGCAGGATATTTTTGACGGATTAAAATCAAAGGAATATGCCCATCCGGAAAAGGTTGTTCCGAAATCTATTGCTGCTACCATCAATTTCTTCTTTTCGGTTTCAAATATCTGTCAATCATAAAAAGTGAATTATGTATTTTTTCATTTTGGTATACGCAGGATATACGTTAAATAGTTCTGATAAAACAACTGAAACAATGTAATTGAGTATATCTTATGAAAATTTTATGCTATATCACAAATATCCAAAATATTAGTATTTTTTCACTTTTATTTAAGCATAAGACTTACATCAAGACAACTTTATTTAAATTCTAATATTAAGGACATCCATAGTGTTTCAAAATAAAAACTATATCTATAATGTTTTATCAATAGTTAAACATAATATTCTCTACTTGCAAATATTTTCATCAAAAATAAATAAATAAATAAATAAATTCATACAAACTCTTACTTTCGAGTCAGCACTTGCCATTTTTATACTATGTCCAAATGTGTTGGGCCAAGTGTCATGCTTAAATTTTAACAATATACACGACGTATAAACTGGTAATTTACACACTTATTTATTATTTTCTACTTGGCACTTTTTTATGGAGCAAGCGTTTGAAATCCTTATTCATATTTAGATTGTTAGATATTCAAAGACCAATGTACATTAGCAAAGATATATCAGGATTAGTCTATTTACTTTTTACCTTATAAACAAACTGCTTCAAAAGTTATTAGTCAAAATCTACATGCGTAGGAACTATTTGCAATTCTTTACCCTTTTTTACATTGGCAAATTCTTGTTATAGTGATGCACATTAATATAAGAATACAAGTTTTTTTTTCGCTTATCGTTCTTGTTATTTATGTCATATAAACAGTGTATTATCAAGGTTTTCACACATGCGATAATTATATTTGATTAGATAGGCTGTCCTACAACCTACAACACATACAGATAACTTTGTTTATAGTGATAACATAAAGATAGTTATGATTTTATTTAACAAATGTACTATTTATCTATACATGGCTTAACAGTGAGAATCCTTATTACTCCAAAGATATAATTAAATGTCATTATATCTAAGCCCTGTGGCCTATAAGAAAGCTAGTCATGTGAATGGCCAGTTGTATAACAGAGACTGCGATCCTGCAGAATATGGGATTTCAATAATTAATAAGAACTGGCCTTGTACCACAAAAAAGAATACATTTAGTCTGAACATACATAAAAATCATACCAAAACCATGTGTCTTCATGTAAACTGTGCAAAAAAAACATTAAACTGATATTTTATATACACTAGACAAAGTACGAGATCTATTCATATCACTGTTACACCATAGAAAATTAAATGGTTGTAGCTTATATAATGACAAGAACAAATACTGATAATAGTTTGTATTTACCTGTGCAGGTCTGTAAAGAGTTGGAAAAATATACTTAGAAATCCTCAAAGGTAACGAACTTATTTGAAATTCGGAAATTTCTCTCTTATATATTCCATTTATGAAAGTAAATATTTATCTTTGTCTCATCACGCATGCGAAAATGATGACATTAATGTTAGTGATAAACGAAATAAACGACAAAGTAAAACACTACGGTGTCCTATTTCGTCCACAATATTACGCAAGTAACATGCGGTAATTATCGCCTTAAAAGGTCGGAATTTAGTACTTAATTTCGCATGTCATATATTTCGCTAGTCTCTCGGGCGAGTCTCTCAGGCGCCTTTTCTTGAGAACAGGGAATCATATACTAGCGACATTGGAAAACTTCGCCTCGATAATTATCGTCTTAATTTTCGTATTGATGAGATAAATATCGCACTGAAGAACGCTTATTATCGCATAACAGATTAGCGAAATTTAGGCACACGATAATTATCGATTCTTAAGGGCGAAATTTAGACTAAATTTCGCATGTAGTAAATTTCGCTAGTCTATCATGCGATAATTCGCGCCCTTCAACGCGATAATTATCGCGTGAGGCAAAAAAAATACGAAAAATAAGACGATAATTATCGAGTTGAAATTGTTAAATTTCGCTAGCATAAGTGTCCCTGGTCAATAGGAAAAGCAATAAATATCGCTTGAGAGACTAGCAAAATTTAAGACATGCGAAATTTAGTTCTATCGCGTGTTAACTAGCAAATTTTTTGGACGAAATAGGACATCGTAAATTCACATTGTCAAAAAAGTATAAGCGATGAAACAGTAGTTAGCATAGTGCTTACAAATCATACCAGGATTGTAATAATGTTTTGATCGTATATAGTTATGTTAATGTCAGTTTCTGGAACATTATTTATGTTTTTATTTATATAACAGTCGACAAAACAAAAACAAAACAAAAAAGATAACGCGTATTTAAAGTGACAAATATGATTCATTTTGAGCTGAATTAACTAATTATTTCAAAAGATTGATCATTTAAACGGTTATTGATCAATAGACCTTTTAACGACGCGGTCCGTTGCTATGAAAAAATGACCGGAAGTAGTATTTTTTCGCGTATGCGCAATTTGCGTAGGGCAAAAAAAGCCATGCCCTACATAGAAATTAAGTAGAAATTCATAGACGATTCCGAGTTTGTTTAAGGTAAAAAATAGAAAATCATATGAAATAGCTTTTAACATAAACACAAAAGATGCTTTCATAGCTTTATGGCCGAGATTGCCCCCAAAAGGCATGGAAAAGACTATTGTTTAAGAATTCCCCCTAACAATCACTGACCTGACATTGAGATTATTGTTGTAAAAATATGTGGAAATATATATATTAGCAAATAAAGAAGTCAATTTAATTGTTGTTGAAAACGTCCATATTAAAAAAAAATATTTTTATTACATATAATAAATAACATTTTTATATAAATTTTATTAACATTTAAAATGGAGGTTAAATATCATTCTGAAAAAAGTCGGAACACGTGATATAAAGCATTTTAAGTTTTCAGTTTAGCTAATTTTATCCTTTATCCAACTTGACTGAGATGCCAAACAGAAATTTTTTAAGTCACATGATATATTTAAATAATTTTTCAAACTCTTGTGAAGTTAAGATGGGTGGTGGAATAACACACATTTTGTCCGGTTCCTTGTAACACATGGAAATGCACGTCACGTACACTATTTGTCACTTTACAAAATCAATACACATTGATGAGATTGGTATAAATAAAAATAACTTAAATAACGATTAATCATTTTAATAATTTTAAGTAATTAACTATGTCATGGTACTAAAACGACCCGGTTGAATGATATTGATAAGTAGCTTGCAAATAGCAACCGGTCACGTGTCAGTCTGTTTGACACTTACCGCCTTGCCAATCCACTTTCAAAGGAACACCAATTGTGTGATATTATGTAATACATTGGTAATAAAATGTGATCTTTAACACCCTGCTGTTTTACTTTACATTACTGATGAAAAAAGTCACCTAATGATACCTTGAATGATACCAAGCATATCCACACTTTGCCTCTATGCTATGTTATATTTTTCTGATATGCACAACTGCTATGCTAGTTTCCAGAATGAGCTATATGCAATGGCGTTACTTTAATAATGTTCCAAATTAGGTTTACCAAATGATTAAAAAATACAATGCAAATTAGTATCTCTGGAACATGTGAAAGAAAGATAACAAACTCACTTTAGCTTAAACTACATAATGAAGATTTATATCCCCTTTTACAGATGCTACAATATTTGTCAGACAGTAACACCTTTTATATATTGGGCAATAAATACAAATTCAAAAATTTCTTTGAATGCCTTGAAATCACTGAACTTTGAACTTAATATAAAATTGTAAGGTCCGAAATGAACATATTCCAGTTTAAATCTATATATATTAATACAGGGTAAAACAGATTTCTTTTCCCTCTCAAACTAAAAATAAAACTAAACATCACATTTGAAGATTGTTTTTTTTTTCAATACATGATACTTAGTATTAAACACTTCTGAATCTGACATCTATACTCAAATATAATCATCTGATAATATTCTAGGTATGCAAAAAGATTTATCCTGCATACTTGAAATAATAATAAATAAAATGTGTAAATATTTTATAATTGCATTAAATTAACAGCGTGTGTAAAAAATCAAGCAAAATGTTGCTGTTATTCTATGTGTTGTCATGTTTAAGACTGGATGGTGGCTGAATTTGATATACTGTTTTAAAATATCTGTAATTTATTGCACATGCATAATTAATAAATTACAGAAAAATATTGTTTATTTCTGAATATACTGTTTATTGTTTCATAACTCTGGTTGCAGAATTCATGGCCAGATTTCGAGGGTATAATATAAACAAACCTACTTGTATATTTAAGTTTCTAGAAAATAACCCGTAGGTTATGTAAGAATCTGGCCGGTGTAAGAAATGTGACATGTGTAGAACAATTCTAAACAGCTATTAGAACAGACTTAATTCTCATAGTCTGCGAGTTTCACTTTTTTACAATTGTGTGCTTTTGAATGATCTATCCATTCTAAAACATACAATTGTCATGTTTACAGTTTTATGGTAGTTTTTATACTACTTTAAAAAGATAAAATATTCTGTAAAAGACAAATGAAGATCTTCTTACCATAAATTTACAATATGAAATGAGAAAGACGGACTGCAATAAACAAAATGTACCGTGTAAAACATTGCAATATTGTTACACCGTTCATGTATGTTCGATAATAGGAAACAAGCCGAAATGGGACGGAATGGGCATCTACAAAACGGAGCAAAATGTTGTGACAGCTAAATAACCAACGGTCTACAACATATATACACACTCGTATAAGAATACGCTAAGTACACTCCACTCTATCTAAGAACATACCATGAGTATCTTGTTTACAGAAAATCAAGACATTAATTGTACTAATTGCCATACTAAGAATGTGACTGGGTCATCAAATATTAAAATGTTGTAATTGGATGCATACAAACAATAAAATTTTAACTTCATACATTTACAGAATAATTGTGTAGAAATCAAACGAATATTAAATTTACATACTCCGCCTTTGTTGCACGTTGTTCGATCCCTTAATCAATATAATAATTGTTTTTGTTTTTAATTTTA